TCATTACCACCACCCAGGAACCGCCATTCTGACTGCTATAACCAGGAAATCACTGTACCTATTTTTGAACTTCATTTAAATGGAATCATATAGTATGCAACCTTTTGTCTGGCTCATTATGAGATCCATCCAAGTTGATGAGCATATCAATAGTTCACTCTTTTATTGATTTTGCAATGTTTCATTTTTAAAATATACCACAATTTATTCATCCATTCTACTGCTGATGTACATTTGGGTTTTATTTAATTTTTGGTTATTATGAATAAAGGTGCTATGAACATTCTTTCATATATATATATATATATTTTTTTTTTTTGGTAGACGTATACATTCATTTCTCTTGGATATGTACCTAGGAATGGAATTGTAGGACCATGGGTAGGATTAGACCCACCCATGCCACAGCTTTCCAAAATGACTGTACCATTTTATATTCCCAACAACAACATACAAGAGACCCAGTTGCTCTACATCCTTGCCAATACTGGCACTGACAATCTTTTTAATTTTAGCCATTCTGGAAAGTGTGTAGTATCTCATTACTGTTTTAATTTGCATTTCCCCATTGACTACTAATATTGAGCACCTTTTGATATGCATACTGACTATTCAGAGATCCTCTACTAAAAAGTACCTGTTCAAGACTTCTGTACCTTTTTTAATTAACCTGTCTTTTCCTTATTAATTTTATACACACACATATTCTGGTTATGAGTCCTTGGCCAGATATATGAATTGCAAATTTCTTCTTCAAGTCTGTATCATGCCCTTCATTCTCTTAATGTTATCTTTAGACGGAGAGAAGTTCTCAATATTAATGAAGTCTGAAGTGAAATTTATCAATCATTTTTACAGTCATTACTTTCAGAGTCCTTTTTAAGAAATCTCTGCCTACTCTACTCACTAGTTCTTTGATTTGTGCTTATGGTTTAAGCAGTTCTCAACTTGGCTCTGAACTCATGAAATCCTGCATCTTTGAAAGATTTTTTACAGTCGATTTGGAACACATTCATGTTATGTTCCTGGGTGCTAGAATGTTTGAGGGGAGATCAGTTTTACAACTAGAGAATTCATTTGTGATTACTTCCATATTATAATGACTTCTGTACAAATATATTAAAAACTTAATGTTAAAAAAAAAAGAAAGGGCCAGCCATTCCGTGGCGTAGCGGGTAAGTTCGCACACTATGCTTTGGCGGCCCAGGGTTCATGGGTTCAGAGCCCAGGCTTGGACCAACACACTGCTTATCAAGCCATGCTGTGGCAACATCCCATATAACATAGAGGAAAAGGAGCACGGATGTTAGCCCAGGGCGAATCTCCCTCAGCAAAAAGAGGAGGATTGGCAACAGATGTTAGCTCAGGGCTAAACTGCCTCAAAAAAAAAGAAAAGAAAAAACCCTAATACCCATTATTCTAGCATTTTGCCCCAAACATACCTTAGATGATTCTTCCCACTCCCTTCATGTGGCTTTCCTCCAATGGAGCCCCCTTTACACTAGACCCTCTAGACTTTTGATGACATAATTAAGTTTTCTGTAGTCTCAGAAATCAGAGGCCTAGAGGAAGTTATAAGCCTGGTTTTGTTACATCTTATTTGACCCAACAAACTCAGAGGGTTTACAATTCTCCCAAAACCAAGTAACAAAGAATTCCCTGCTCTATTCTTTTTCCTAAATTAGTTAACAATATCTCCAATCTCCAACCATATTGTTACCAAAAAACCAAAACAAAACAAAAAAAACACCTTACTCTACTAGTTCAGCAGGTGTTCCCCACCTCCATCCCATTATTCTTCACACCCAGTCTACCCTCCATTCTGCCTTCAAAATGTATGTGGTGAACTCTGAACTCTGCTCTGCCACAGCCAATGCTCTGGTTCACTCCCTCAGCATCTCTCATCTCGAGTACAACAACCGTCCTTAACTCGTCTCCTCCTTACATTCTGTCTTTCACCTTGTCACCAAAGTCACCTCTCCAGAACATAAAGTTAATCATGTTACTCATCTGATTAAGATCCTTCCATAGGTCCCACAGGATAAAGTCACTCACTTAGCTGAGAATTCACAGTCGGGCACCAAGCTCTCCCGGCTTCTCTCTCAGCAACTCCTGCAATCCTCTGCTCTGACCCCTGGACACCCACACACTCTCACTTGGTCCTGACTTTGCACTGCTTCCTCCTTCAGCTAGCGGTCCTTTCCTCCCTAATCCTGCAGTCAGCTCCCTTTCTATCTGGGCCAGGGCCACCCCAGCAGGAGTAACTGTTCCCTTGCACGTGTTCCCACAGCTATCTGTACCCACCACAACTATATTTGAGTCCTTATCACACTGCATTAATTAACCATTTATTTGTTTGTCTCGTTCACTAGTCTACAAACTTCTGGACCTGGAGCTTCTCCCTGGACCCCTCAAGAATAAGCTCAGGAATTAATCTTTACAACCCAAGGACTTTGCATGGCAATTCCATAAAGGCTCAAGAAAAGAATGAGGGTCTCAGCCACTTTTATTCATATCATTTTTCTCTATAAATAGAGACTAGAAAAATTAGTACAAATATGTCAAAGCAATGAATCTCACACAAGTTTTCTTTTAAAAGTCACCCAACAAATTTAAAGATTTTTTTTTTTTTTGTGAGGAACATCAGCCCTGAGCTAACATCCATGCCAATCTTCCTCTTTGCTGAGGAAGACCGGCCCTGAGCTAACATCTATTGCCAATCCTCCTTTTTTTTTTTTCCTTTGTCTCCCCAAAGCCCCAGTAGATAGTTGTATGTCATAGTTGCACATCCTGCTAGTTGCGGTATGTGGAACGCGGCCTCAGCATGGCCGGAGAAGCGGTGCGTCAGTGCGCGCCTGGGATCCGAACCCGGGTTGCCAGTAGCGGAGCACTGGAACTTAACCGCTAAGCCACGGGGTCGGCCCAAATTTAAAGACTTTAATAAAAACTAAAATCTTCCTTAATCCTTGATTTGTGCTTCCTGTTAGAAATTCATCACAACTCTGTTTTAAAATACTTTTTTAAATAATGGGCAGCAAAGGTAGGATAAATATACCACCTAACAAAAGTAACTATAGTCATCACCATATAAATCACTATCGGATGCCAATACAATGAATTACGGTTATTATTTATACAATACAACTAAAACCCACAAACAAAATTACTTTGTTGGAAAACCTGTTCACATATATCCCCTTAACACATAACACATCAGTATGATACAGGACGATGGTATGCACGGTGGTTAAGAACGTAGCTGGAATCACAATGCTAGTTGTGTGATTTGGGGTAAATAACTTAAACTGCAATGTGCCTCAGTTTCCTCATCTGTAAAGCAAAGATGATAAAGTACTCACTTCACAATGATGCTGCGTGACTGAATTAGCACATACAAGGAAGGCCCTTGCAACAGTGCCTGGTAGTGTAAATGCACAGTAATAAATGTCAACTGTTATCACTGTTTTTAACTTTTTTAAGCCCTTTTACATATATAGTTTTTTTTTTTTTTCTCACAACAGTACAATGAGATTGTTTGGATAGGAAATGCTATGCCCATTTCAGAGATAAGGTACTGGCAGAGAGGTTATATGATTTCCCTATGATATTTTAAGTGGCAGAGCAGGAACTAGAAACCACACCTAACCCCTGCCCCAGGCCAAACTGACCAGACCTCCAGGGATGAGGTTTGGAAGAAAGATTCTTTGGGGTTTTCCCCATTGTTTCCTCTTGGTTGTCAGCAACAGCCAGCCTAAACACTGGGTGGGAACAGATGAACTACCCCATTTGCTCAAATTAAAAGGTAGGTGAAGCCCTACTTTCGTAGTGCCTGACACAGCGGGCACTCCAAAGACAACAGCGACTGACGACCGAAACACAAGTGCTACGGTGCTTTCCCAATAACACAACGAGGCACTCCACAAAACCAAACCTGCCACCAAAAATAAAAGCTACCTAATATTGCACTTATCTGTCACATCAAGGTACGTGGCAAAAGAAACATTAAAAAAAAGGAAAATTTTTCCAAAAACGAATAATTTTTTTACTCTCAAAAATATAATAGTTTTGCAAAAAGAACTTTCATTAAGACAGGTTTTTGAAACCTAACCCAACTGGTTATATTTCATGACATCAATCTTTGCCCAAATAAGTGACTCACATGAAGAGACAATATTTCATCTCTGTAAGACTTTCACCAGTACTAATCTTCATTACCTTCTTGTGCTTAAACTGAACCCCAATCTCAGTGTTATCTACAGCCACGTGCATATGGAATACAGTGAAGGAACTTCGAAAGCAAATGCAATGGTCTCAGGGAATCCACCTGAACCAGGAAGTACAAGGAAGCAAAACGCCTCCACAACAACAACTAAGTGCCCTGTCTTTTTATTTCTTCTCTTCAAATGGGCAAGCAAAAGCTAAGGCACACTTTAATGATCAAACTTGACACCAGCCCCTGGCTAGGGCCTACCTTTCCTTTCGTGGCACTGCCACTCTGGCGCCTACAAGCAGGCGTCTGATGCCTGGAAGATGCACAGAAAAGGCAGCTCCAGCCCCGCAGTGGACAGCTTACGGCTAAGCCTCGCACTTGGGACGCTTTGCACATCGGACTGAACAGCGGCAGAGCTCAGACTGTGTCGGGGCGGTGCAGCTCCCAGACCCGCCCAGGTCCGGAGCGGGAAGGTCTTGATGCTCATCTGCAAACACCGACGGGACACCTCGCCCTCTCCCGGCCCGCGCGGCCCCGACGCCTCCGCCAGCCTCCAGGATTCGCTTCCCCGGGTCCTCCTCTCACCCGAGCCGGCGACGCTGCCACCTGCGTCGGGACCCCAATTCCGGGTCAAGTGACCGTCACCTGGGCCGCAGCCCGGGAAGGCCCGCGGCTCAGGTGGAAGAGCCCGTGCGGCCGCTCCCCCTCCGCCAACTCGGGGATACCCCCGCCGCCGCCGCCGCCATTTTCCCCGCGCCGTAACCCCCACCTGACAGTTCCAGCCTCCCACCTGTGACCAGCAGGGGACCACACGCGACGCCGTGGGGGGCGCGTGGGCGAGCTGGAGAATCCGTGGGGATCACAACCTCCGGGCAGAACCCGCCCCTAATTCATCCCGAAGCGGGGAGGTGTCCGGCCCGTCGCCCTAGTAATGCGTCCCGGCAGGCTTCATCCTGATTGGCTGCGAGCGTCGTGACGCGGCGGCGTCCCCGGCTGCGTGGGAAGCCCGGGTCCCCGGCGGCCAGCCCTGCTCCTCTGCGGGGGGGCGCCCGGGGCGCGGGTCGTCCAGGGCTCTGTTAAAGGGGCGGCGCTCATCTCCTCGTCTGGTCTCTGTCAGAGGAGGCACCGAGAGATCGAGAGGGTGTAGGGGCGAGAAGCAATATAACTAGGGGATCACGCAGGCTTTGTCCCAGGGAACCTAATAGTCCGTCCAACCCCTAGAATTTCAGAGTGGAAAACAAATCTGGGGAGTTTAATTTACAAGCCTAAATTACTAGCCCGAAGTCACGGGGCAAATCAGTAGTAGAACCAGTTCCAGAACTCAGGTTCCTAATGCGCAGCGCCAAGCTCTCCCTGGCAGGCGCAGTATTTCCCCAGTCCTCAGGAAACTTTCCCTGTCTGAGCAGCCACAGCACTTTCATCATACCCCTCTTAGAAGGTATTCATCGCTTTCTACGTGGTGTGTCTGTCCTCTAACCTACTAGACTCTAAGCTCCGTAATGGTGGGTTCAGCATCTTTTCGTTTCCTACACTATGCATTCCTCCTGCTGGCCTTCAACAAAGGTTCACCGAATAAAAATCTAAAAAATAATGAACAGTGCGATGAAATTGTATATCACACACACAGCCACTCATGGGTCATTAACGTATGTTTGTGTATTTTATTCGTTGCATGGTGCGGGGGGGAGGGGAGGTGGTGAATTTTTTTTTTAAGTACAAGTTTCCTGTCCTCACAAAATTTATAGCGTAATAATAATGAACATCTATGGCTACATAGCTTTAATATAGCTAAATTATACCCCAAATTCTCTGAATCAAAAGTTCCTGTGCTCCTCCTAAATAGTTTCATACCCTCTCCGATTCTGTTCAGAAATATTGAAATATTGATGTGCTAAAATTGTATTCAAAAATGAAGATAAACAGCAGAGGGAAACAGCAACACAAAATCGAAGTCTGCCAATTATCTCTGTGATCTTCGCCTTCATTTTTATCTTTAAAATAAGATTGCTAGAATAAAGATCTCTAAATTCTTTTTTTCCCCCCACTCCTACAAGTTTTTGAGTTTCTTGATGTCAAAGACCAGGGGAAAACTTGAAGCCACTGGAGATAAGTTTTGAAAGCAGGGATTATGTAATAGTTTATCTTTGCATCTCTGTAACTCCTAGAACAGACCACACCAAGGGAGGAAGAGAATCTACAGTTCTGAATACAGCAGATGTTGAATAAAAGTTAGCTGACTTGAATGAATCATCCTGGTTTCTTCTCTATTTCACCTTCTAGCCTTGGGCCTTTCTTGGGGGTGGAGTGGTGGGACCTGAAGGAAGGATCAAAACTGTGGAGTCCTGAGGCTATTAGCTCTTTTTTACCCCAAATACTTCCAACACCCATATGAGTGAGTTTTCCACACCAAGCAGTTCTCCAATTCTCCGTGAACACCAACTGGGTGTCCTACAATGTAATTCAGTTCTGACACTAACTACTTGGAGTTAATGCAGACCCCACAGGTGAAGGGCTCAGTCCCACGAGACTCCCCTCAATTCAGCTCCAATCGCAAGTTGGAGCCTCCGGTACTTCTGACCAGCCAGCTATAAATTGGAGGTTCCCACAACCACCTGCTTGGGTTTTAATTTGCTAGATAGCTCAGAACTCAGGAAAACTTACGTTTACTGGTGTGTTATAAAGGATACAACTCTGGAGCATCCAAGTGGAAGAGATGCACAGGGCAAGGTATGGGGGAGGGGGGAACCATAGAGCTTCCATGCCCCCTCCAAGCATGCTACCCTCCCAAGCACCTCGGTGTATTCACCAACCCAGAAGGCCTCAGAACCCCGTTGTTTAAGGATTTTTTATGGAGATTTCATTATGCTGTTGTGGACATGATTGATTAACTCATTGGCCATTGGTGATTAGCTCAACCTCCAGCCTTTGTCCCTTCCCTGGAGGTCAGAGACTGGAGTTGAAAGTTCCAACCCTCTAATCACATGGTTGCTTCCTCTGACAACCAGCCCACATCTTCCAAAATTCAACTCATTAGCATAAACTCAGGTTTTAGGGGCTTGTTACGAATAAGAAAAGACCCTCCTATTCCCCTATCACACAACAAAATACAGGGATTTTAGAAGCTCTGTACTAGGTACAGGGATAAAGACTAAATATGTATTTCTTATTATATCACAATATCACAGAGTGCAAAGGAAAAAGACTGCAAGACGAACCCAAGGAGTATGTTAAAACACCCTGGCGGGTCCCACTGAGGGTATGACAAAATGTGGGCCCAGACCATCTTGATGCGATTTAGATAAATTTATGCTAAGGTCATCCAGGAGATTGGGGGTTGCCCTCTAAAAAGTAGACTCCCACAGTGCACAACATTCTGAACATTTCCTGTAGTGTTTATCTGCCGGAACTTCCCACACTGACCACTCTTGTACTGTGTGCTCAACCTGCTGTTTAAAATACATGAATTTAGGGCCGGCCCCGTGGCTTAGCGGTTAAGTGTGTGCGCTCTGCTACTGGCAGCCCGGGTTCGCGTCCTGGGCGCGCACCGACGCGCCGCTTCTCTGGCCATGCTGAAGCCACATCCCACATACAGCAACTAGAAGGATGTGCAACTATGACATGCAACTATCTACTGGGGCTTTGAGGAAAAAAAGGAGGAGGATTAGCTCAAGGCCGGTCTTCCTCAGCAAAAAGAGGAGGATTAGTATGGATGTTAGCTCAGGGCTGATCTTCCTCACAAAAAAAATAAATAAATAAAATAAAATACATGAATTTATAATATAGTTGGATCATAGGCGACTCTCATCATAAACTTTACAAGTTAAGTAAATACCAAGGAAGCGGAGTTCAAGTTGTATAGAAGGTACCTTTGTCCTACTTCAGGCAATAACCCTGTTAATAACTTACTGGCTCTTGGTTAAGAAGGTCCTTTGCGCTAGGAATAAGGTCGACTAGGCTAAAACTGTTCTTGAACCCCAAGCCCTGATGAAATAATAACTTTCTTAGATTCTCCCCATAGAATTTCCCTAAAATGAATCCCATCACCAATCCTGCCCCTAGTAAAAGAACATTTAAGTAGTACAGAGAATGTAGCTCAAATCCCAGATTCTTCCATTTACTAGTTATGTGGCCTTAGGTCATCTAATCTCTCTGATCCTCAAGTTCCTTCATCTGTAAAGTGAGGACAATAATCTTTCCCTTCAGAATTGTTGTAAAGGAAAGAGAGAATTTACCCTGTAGCAAGCCCTTGTCTTGCATCCCACTTCTAGGGCAGTTCCTCTGAGGCAGAGTATTAAAGCCGCACATGGGTGTGGAAGCCAAACAAATCTTAATTTGAATCCCATTTCTGATACTTGACAAACTGAAAATTTGGTTAAGTCACTTAATTTCCCTGGGCCTCAGTTTCTTATCTGATAAATGTGGCTATTAGTGCTTATCTCTTAGGACTGTTGGGCATTTTAAACAAAATAACAATAACAACTACCTGCCATTTATTGAGCACTCACAGCGTGCCAGTTACCATGTAAGCCCCTCATGCACATCATTTAATTTTCAAAACATCCTTTTGATGGGTGAGGATGTTGAGACTTAGGAAGGTTAAGCGACTTGCCCACAATCTCACAGCCAGTGGATGGCAGAGTTGGAGATTTGAATACAGGTCTCTCTGACACTGATGCCCTTATTCCTAACTCTTCTGCCCAGCTGTATCGAGTGCTTTTTGAGGATTATTAGCATATGATACAAAGATCCTCACAACTTGTGCTCACTCCCTTAGGTCCCTACCCCAGATCTTTTTGTCTTCAATCTTCCAAACTTGCCCCTTCCAGGCCTCTGACTAGCCAGCTGAGCCATTTGCCACTGCCAGTGTCCATGTATATCCTTCCCTTGAGCCAATTTTCTCCCACACAAAATGGATGATGAGGAGCACCGGCCTAAACTCTGCCCGTTGGGAGGATTGCTCTCACCCTGAGTAGGTCTACAGTGAAGTAGCAGTCCATTTTCCTCTTGCATCCACAGACCAAGCCTATCAACCTTTAACCAAGCTGAGGCTTTTCCTCCTCTATCATCTGATCAAGGAAACTCTCCATGGGTTAAGGAAGAGGTGTTTGTGCAACAGTGGTAGGAGAAATGTGGATCTGGGCCATCTGTTCATTCAGCTTATGTGTGTTCTCTGGGCCTGCTCAAACTCAATCTCAATGTATCACTTCCCTTTGAAAAGATTGCTGCTAGGCCTACCCACACTTATGAGCTGGTAGGTCTGATATTATCCAATTCATCATGCACAGTTTGGGTTGAATGGTGTCTTGATGCCCCATGGTCAGAGGCTCAGGCTCTATCAGTGCTCAGTAGCATGCCAGGAGACGCTTTTCAAATGTGTATGGTTCTCTCCCACAGTTGGCATGGCCATGCTCCAGAATCCTAGAGGGCTGCACTGTGATTCTTCTTTTGGGACTTGCCAGGGGCTCCACATGGCCTTTCCTCTACCACAGTTTCATGAGATATGCCAGGTGGTACAGCCAAAGTGGCAGGGCTGTTTGTACTGCGGGCTGGACATACGGCTGAGTCCTTTCTTGACCTGAGCCTATTACCAAGCAACGGGCTTGCTCCGCTTGCGGCTCTCTGAGCCAATTAATCACAATGAGTTAGGGATTGAGAAAGGAAGCTTTTATTCGATTAGCCAGCAGATTGGGAGATGGTAGACTAATGTCTCAAAAAAACCATCTTAGAGAGAATTACAGAATCTTGAGGCAGTTATATAGGGAAAATGGGAGGTAAGGAAGGGGTTTAGAAATGTCAGCCTTCAGGCATGACGGACTCCAGGGCCCCTCATTGTTCTTTTCTTCTATCAGTGATGATGGATATCTTACAGGTGTTCCTTCTTCCTGGCGGCCTTCTTGTTCCTTAGGAAAATTGTTAAGATTGTTGAGAACAAAGCTATCAGAGTACCTCAGCAGGGG